AATGACATAAAAAGCTTTAACAGTGACGTTAATGTAGAAATATGTAAAGAGGAAATGGATTCTGGTTTCTGCTGTGCCAGCTCTGAAGCTCTGCGCACATTTAGCAGCACTTTACTTAATTGAGGACTTTCTGCAGATATTATGGTTCATAATCACCTTTTGTTATAATCCTCTTTATGATTTCTATACATTTCTAAATAAAAACAAACAGTGATGATAAAACTGTGTTTAAAAGTGTTACATTTGATGTTTCTGGTTCTTTTACTGAGCGTGTGCTGTAATATGTAAGTAAATAAACACATTTTTAATTGAATGATCTTTCATTTCCAACGTGTAAAGCAGTGATTCTGTCTGCAGTGAACACTGTGGTAACAGATGCGTTCCTGTGCTCGGGGTTTTCTGGCTCTCTCGCTGCTCCTCGCCGCTCTCAGTGCCAGGGGCCGGTGTTGTGCTGACAGCTGAGGACTCTGACATGAAGCCAACATGATCTGTGCTGTAAAAATATTTACTGTACACGACCACACTGAGCGCGCTCCGTGCAGCCCGGCGGCGTCTGTAGCGCAGCCAGGCCGTGTCTGGTCTTAAAACCGTAACCGGCACCGTTTTTAAAGGATGCCGTCTGCGTGCGGCGGCGAGGCTCTCGGGTGCTGATGTCACTCTTTGGACAAAAGCTTTGTGAGACTTGACCTGACTTTTTATGTTTCACACTCAGGATAATGATACACTTTAAAGGGGAAATAAATACATGATTAAATAAGTCGTTGGTGTTATTGTCTGATCGACTGTCTCTCTTTACTTCAGCTCACCCTGGTCACTCAGAGCTCCATCCAAGCCTCCGTCTTCATCTTCAACACCACCATCTAGACTCGGGGTCTGGTCCTAGCTCCCATCACTGCTGCAGGTCATCACAGAGGAGCGGTCATTGTTCCACACGGTCTCTCCGTATTCATTTGGTCTCTGATCACTTTCTCTGAAATCAGTTTTAAGGTCTCAGAATAAACAGAAATACCACCTTAAATGCTCCCACAGGCGCATGAGAGTCGTTCAGATTAGAAACGTGTGTCTGGATTCACGTACACTCGTGCAACACAAGATGTCAGCAACACAACTCTGAGTAAGTCAGTCTGAGAGGAAGCATGGCTTCCCCCGGTCGTCATGGAGACGCTTCAGTGGTCATCACATGATCTGAATTTCTTGTTTCTGGAAAAGAAAAGATTTGTCAGGCTGAAAGAGGACACTGCACACACACACACACACACACACACGCACACACACACAGTGTGTGTACAGCACCATTGTTCTCTTTGAGTGCGACAGTTTGTGTGTTAATTTGTCTGCATCTGCTGTGTGTGTGAGACTAACTGCATGTGTCCACGTGCCTTGTGTGTGTGTGTGTGTGTGTGTGTGTGTGTTCACGCTGGTCTGTACTCTGTGTGTGTTTACACTTGGATGAGCCTTCTGTTCGGCGTGCAGTCGCTCTCAGTGAGCTGGGTTTTTAG